AGAATAGGGCACAGGCTCAACTTCGATCATTCGATCGATTTGCATCTCCTCCAATAAATCCAATTCAGGGGATCAAGTTGACAATCCTAGTAGGTTTTCTGAGCTCCCAACCTTTCAAATGTTTATGAGCTAAGCCCAGCTCGTATGGCTACATGGACCTTCCAAGGCAACTCCCTACTTTTTGGACACCTATGGATCTCAACATCAAGTTACACACTCTCATCGCCAGACCTCAGTTCCCTTCCTCTAAAAGGAGCTCAGTGAGCCAGTACAACAGAATTGCTTTTAGAAAAACTCAATTCTCCTCAAAGCAAGGGGACAAGGAGGGAATATGAAGTAAAACGACACAACTCAAAGGCAAAAGTTAACAAAAGTTAAGGAGCTACTAGTTGTAAATATAATACAGAAAAGGGAAGTTGTGAATCAATTGTGCTTGTCAAAACATAAAAGAGTTACATTTCAGAGTTACAAATTTTCCTCATTTTAAGAGCCCTAAGTTCCTGATGGAAGAGTGGTTGGAGGACTCTGCAGTTCAGTAGGAGAAGTCTCAGCAGCAGGAGCAGGAAGGGAACCAAGAAGCTCAGTAGAGGAAGTAGCTGGCAAGTCCTCCATTGGAGGCTCTAGGAGTAAAGGGGCTGGGAGCTCAGAAGTCAAAGTTTTTGTAAGCCCTGAGGAAGGCAGGAAAAGAGGAATCTCAGGAATTTCTGAGGCAAGGACCTCTGTAGATGGTGAATTCAGAGCTAGAGCTTGGGAGACGAGGTCAGCAGAGAAAGGGGCAACCTCAAAAGCAGGAGGAGGCATGGTGTTAACCTCAGGATCAGCCGTCTCAGCCCTCTCCGTAGCAAGGGGATCAAAATTGAAATCTTGTCCAAGATAGAGCTCTTCAGCTCTGTCTTGAAAGGCGAGTCACTAGGAAGCCCTAAGTAGTGACATCATCAGCTAGCTTGGCAATCAGGCTGTCTTTCTCCTTACCTACTGCCCTCTCCACCTCGAGCTCTTCTTGAAGAGTGTCATTTGTCTCAGCAAGGAGGTCGTATTCCCTCTTCATATTTCGATAAGAGCTTAAAGCCTCAAGGGACTTCTGACTGACTTTGAGCCATTCATTTGTTTTCTACCTGAGCTCCCCAGAGATCTACCTGAGTTCCTCCTTAGTCTTTCTGGCCTCTTCCTTATAACTCCTGCCTTCACCCTCAATCCTCTCTTTCTCGGCCTCCAAGTCCCTATTTAGGGAAGTCTGCTTCTCCACTTGCTCCTGTAAATCCTGAATCTGAGCCTTGAGGTCGCTATTTTCAAAGGACAACTCTGCGACCTTAAGCTCAAAAACCCTGGATGCCTGAACAGAACCCTCTATAGCCTGGATCCTTTTCAGCAACCCGCTAATATGGATAGCCATCTGAGAGCAAACCCGACTCGACAGAAGCTCAGATCAGAACGATCAAATAAAAAGAAACGTATACATATATAATATAAACATATACATCAAAGCTTACGGAAGTAGTGACAAAGAGGGCGATAGAAATGGAACTCTCAAGTGGCATAGTAGAAGCCCACTGGATGTCAGACTCAGGGAGGATGGAAGCGATGGCCTCTACAGCTCGCTTTACGTTATCAATCAGAGAGCTCGAGCTTGCCTCAGCATTCCCCCCTTTTTCACTCTTGCAGACCTTAGAATGTTTCAAAGATGGTCCCTCAGAGGGACAAGGGAGAATAGTTCCTGGCAGAATGCGGGAAACCATCTCCAAGGCTCTCTCAACCTCTGCTGAAGAGGGAGAAGTGGGGGGCAGATCTTGCTTAGGGGCCCCACTGGAAGGGGGCAGCTTAGTCTCCTAGGAGAGAGAGGTCTGCGCAGCCTTTGGGGAGACCAAGGAGGTTGGGGGGCCCACTTGGGTGGCTTGAGGCGAAGTAGAGGTCACCTTTAGTCTTGGAACTTTGGAAGTTGAATCACTTCCAAATCTGGCCTCAGCTCTGCGTTTGCTTCCACTCTTGTTCTTTCTCTTCAAAGATAGCTTGGCATTTCGATCCTTCGCGGTTGGTTCCATTGAAGAAGAGCCTGGAAACTCAAGGAAGAGCTAACATGAGAAAAGAAGAGAAGGGAGGAGACAACATAAGAGAAGGGGACAAGGGCGAAGATGGAAAGGAACATCACCTGCTACCTCCTCAGCTCTGACAATGGAGAGTGGGATGGGGGCTTCTAATGTTACCTCTGGAAGGCTGAACCTTTCCCTTACTAGAACCCAAGGCTTGATGAGTTCAGAATATTTTTCTTGTTTTCACTTCTCCAACCTCAGCAGCACCTGTTCGTCCTCAACACTGAGCCCAGGTCGAACACCTGAAAAACAAAATAAGACAAGATAAGGTCAGGAGAGTTCTCCAGACCTGAGCTTGAACAGTTTGAGCGAGGACTTACCCAAGTTATCAGGGGCAGACCAGGCTCTAGGAATGGGGAGAGTATCTATTTTGTCAGCTGGATTGTACTCCTAGTGTTCTCCCCACACAAAGAAGAAAAGTTTCCTCTAGCCCTTGTGGAAGTTCGGGAGGTTAGAAATAATCTATTTAGCCTTTACCCGTTTAGAAATGTACAAGAAGTCGTTGATAGGGGTATACTTAACATTGAAAAGTTCCACTAGTAAGGAGACAGTGGGAACACCGAGCTTGTGTAGCTTGAAGAAAACAAGGAGGCCCACCAGCACACTTTAGAAGTTGGGAGACAACTGAGCAGGACAGACGTTGAAATGTTGAAGAACACTCTTGACAAAAGGGTGTAAGGAAAAGCGCAAACCATTTTCAAAGCAGCAATAAAGAAACAAATCTTCTTATGGATCTAGGAAACATATGGGGTAAATTTATCAAGGCACCAGAACTGAACTCCTGGGGAAATCCATAACGAGCACTAAGGACCTTCATTAGAGGCGGGCTGACCTCACTGGGCTTGTGAGCTCAACAGCTCCTACACCCTCGGCATTGCCTGAGACATCGACCCTACTCACCTTGGTCTTACCCTTACTAGAATCTTTAGGCGTAGAGGGAGCAGATAGGGGATTTTCCTTGGTGTTTCCCTCGGCTTTAGCAGAACAATCCCAGGGAATTTGTCAATTTCCTCACCTACCTCGCCTAAATCCGAGGTGTCCTTAGCGGTCCTATCCCCCAAAAGAGAAACAGAGGAAAGGGTGGCTTCAGAAGAGGCAGACATGGTGGGATAGGAAAAAGGAGTCTAAAGGTACGATAGAGGGAGGAATATTAGCGAGACACTCCCTAAGGATTTGGAGAGCAACATAGCAACTCCCAATAAGGAAGACCTAGCGGTTGAATAAGGGTTCAAGAAAAGGGGAATTCGAGATAGCGATCGACCTCGGTTTCTAAAATAGCAAAATCGAAAAGTCCAAAAATACAAGAACCAGTTCAAATCTGAAGGATCCAGAACGAAGAGACAAACAAAGGGTAAAAAACGTACCTAGAAGAGGAGGAACAGTAGGCCAAAGCTAGAATTGGGGGCAAAGAGCGAATCTCGTCGAAACTTCGGATTGAATCAGGGAAAATCGTTTCCTCAGTGAAACCCTAGTGGCACCAACAAAATTGAAAGACTGAAAGTCGCAAGAAAAAGAGAAGGGAAAAATGTAGAAAGGGAAGTTCAACTGATGGGATGAACCGTTCCCCCCTCAAATCAAAGGCATTTAAAGCTAACGGTACAAAGTGGAAAACGTGCACGAGAAACTAGAAAATAAAATGATTGCCTGAAATCGTCAAAAACCTATTCACAAGCAAATCGAGGTCACATCTGGAGGTCTGCCCTGATTAGGCCTCAGCTCAGGTTAGCCCCTACCCAAGTTCACTTGGGATAAGGGCTGTGGGACAACTAATGATACTCAGAATAATTTTCAACCATGAGGTCAAACTAGAGGATCAGATCAAGAGGTTAGACAAGCAGGTCTAGATAAGAAGTTAGGAAGGAAACGCAGAGCTCAAGTCAGAGCTAGATTTCCCTACCCGGACGCGCCAACAGTGGAAGTGATATAGAGACAGCTGGATGATAACAAAAATCTGTTAGGTGGCAAAGAGCCATCCTCAAGGTATAAAATCCTTAACCAACCAAAATCTTCTCCTAAGATTAAGGAGAAATCCTCGGATAATAGCAAAGATCTCGGTGCAGATCCCATAGAACTAGGAATAGCCCTATAAATATCACGTAACTCTCTCAAAGCATGGGGGAGACCTCTAGAAACATAAACTCTATTCGGTGAACCTTATGAATAAAAAGAAAGGAAAAAATGATCAAGAGCCTCCATTAAAGAGTGGATTAGCCGAGCTCCCGAGCTAGTGAACCACTATAATTTCATTGTAACAATCCCCCAATTTTCCATTGATACTAGTCTTCGCTTTCTTGAGCTTCCTAGCTCAGATCCTAAGAGCCAGATATTGATTATTCAACCTACTTATAAATCTACACCACGTTGATTATCACCATTAGTGTGCATGTGTATGTGTGTAGAGTGCGTGCGGGTGTGTGTGCAGTGCATGCGTGTGTAATTGTGTGTTTGTAAGTATGTATGTATATGTATGCCGCAAAAGACAAGGGAAAAAGATAAGAAAGTAGACCGACATGTGTCATTTGCTTAAGAAGACAATTCAAACGGTAAGGAAGATAGATAAGTTAGGCATTTTGGAAAAAAAACTAATTAAAATTTTAGTAGAATTATAAAATATTTCAAGATAAAAAAGTCATATTATAAATATTATTTTGTTGTAAATTTTCAAAATTAAGTAAAAGATATTTTGTTTTATATTATAACATATTTTTAAGGAGAACTTAATATATTAAAATTTTAAAATTTTAATTGTCAAACAAACTTAATTAATAAAAGTCGAATACATTTATTTTAAATGCTGAATTTTAGTTAACAAATAAACTCTCTTAAATAAGAGGCTTAATTACTAAAAATAGATATTTTTTTAAAGTTATTTCCATATAAAACCGTACTAATTCTGATCTGAACTGCTCACTTTCCTCAGCCTCTACCGTCAATGGCTTTGATTCCGACTCCGGCTTCATCATCTCCGGCATAGACTCCGACGCCTAGGTTAAGGATTGTGAATTGCCCAAATTACCCAGATCTTTGCTTGTTTATCATATATCGCGAGAAGAAATTACTGTCTCTGATGGCCGAGAATCGCACAAAGCTACAATCAAACCCTCAAAGCAGTAATCTTACAATCTGGCTGACTGAGAGACGAAGTAGCTGAGAACGTACGATTCTAAATGCACATTTCCATACAGTTCCTCAGGTTCGGTTTCCTCTCTCTCTCTCTCTCTATAGCATTTCTTTTTTTCGGAACTTAAATTTATTGATGATTCCTTTTTATTATATCATGATGTGAAAACGAAGGGGATCACCCCTTGCAAGAGCAATTCGAAACAAGCTCAATCATGGAAGAACAAACGTAAATCTGTAAAGGGTCTTTCTCAGAGGACTAGCTCAGACAGTTTTATCAGCACATTTTGAAGTTTTGAGCAGCTGATAAGTTACCCGGATAATTGTTAGCATACAACTCATAATAAGTACTGATCACTTCCAATAATAGGACCATTAGTTAGCTTTACTCTATAGTTCAAAATGGGTTCTAACTTCCCAAGCATAATATTGTAAATTCTCTCTCTCTCTCTCTCTCTCTCTGCACCTTTTGTCATTCTGTGATGTCTCATACTATTTTCTTTTGCTGTAGAGGTAAAGTTCATTTGGTTAAGGCGGTACAAGTCCCACCAAAGCTTTAATGGTGTGACAGCAATAGGTATTTTTTTTCTTGGGAAGTCGACTAAAATGAAAGTGAGCACCATAGACACGAAGTGGTTGGCGTTGTAGTCTAGTGCAATGATGGGAGTCTGATCTCCGATCCTCGTTAAGCCATGTCCATAATTAAGAGATAAAATCTTAATCTCATGTGTCCGGCACTCTTTTGGAGACGTGTCAGGCACTTAATTAGGCATTGTCTATGACCAAAAAAAATTAACATGTGTTGGTATGTAATTAACAAAACTCGATGAACTTGTTGCATGTCTCAATGGATCCGTGCCCTACTTCTGACAAATGTCTATATGTCGATATGGTTTTGTGTTATGTCGTACTGTGTCCTGTGTCTATATCCCTACTTCTTTGGATTACTAGATGGGGAGGATTGAGTGAGCCTATTAGAGGCCATCCGAAGCCACTTGGTTAGGCCCGTCGTGGTTACATGTTCCAACATCATGTTTTTCTATACAAATTCTAGTTAGTAGAATTGGCTAGTTTGACTGATGGAGATAATGATGAAATAACGTGATGTGTAGACTGTCTTTGACTCCTACGCTATAAATGCTGTGTGTTTAATGTAAGTTTTGCATTGGTTTTGATATGTCCATTATTGACTCTGGCATTCTTCATGATGCTGTATATCGTAATATTTGCAGGCAGGTTAATTATGGATGGTACTTCCACCCAAGGATTTAGTTCAAACAGAATATATAGGCGTTGGTTAGCTGAAACCTTTGATGGTCATGACACGGCGGAAGATGAGCTATCAGATGGTCTAAATGGAAATAATGATTTCGTTGAACCATCTCTTAAAAGTTTACCTTTAAGTTTGGAACCCTTAGAACCATATGTTGGCTTGGAGTTTGAAACAGCAGAGGATGCTAGAGAATTTTATGAGCTGTATGGAAGGCGTGTGGGCTTCACCATAAGGAATAATCGCACACGCCGCTCTCTTAAAGACAACTCAATAATTGGTCGGGAGTTTGTTTGTTCAAAAGAAGGTTTTCGTTCCGAAAAATATCCAGACAAAGTAAACAGAGTTCTTGTATCACGGGCAGCCACCAGAGAGGGATGCAACGCAATGTTGAGGATAGCTGCCAAAGATGGAGGAAAGTGGGTCATATATGGCTTTGTAAAAGAGCATAATCATGAGCTTAATCCTACCAAAATGCCACCCCGGCGATCTCATAGGATTGCATTCTGCGAGGTATGTGTTGTGGATATACCCTATCAAAACAAAAGTACCGTAAAGTTACTGTTTTATTCCTACGATACAGGGTTGATTAGAAACAGTGGAATTAAATTTTAACTTCCTGTTTACTTGTTTAATTTCAAGTCAACCAATGTTTTCTTGTGTCGTGTCTCAGTAGATGTCCATATATTGATAGAAATTACTTTTTGTGACTTCTTGATGAAAGAGTATCAATTAAGGTAATCACCTTTTTAAATGAGGACATATAGAAAGCTTCGTCTGATAATACCTGAATGTAAACTCCCTCTTGCACTAATAGAGAAATTCCCAGATTTAAATCCTCACTTTTAGCAAGGATGGGTTGGCTAGACAAGTTGTCTCCGGCCATTTCAGCATCTTAAACAACTACTGGAGCCAATGCCTATCAAAACAAGGTCTTCAGCATTTGAACCTTCAGTGTTCTTTGTTTTCTTTTATAGCCATTTTCTAACCCTGACACGGGTAGAAAAATGGTCCCGATTCTCAACTTTTTTCCGAGTTCTACATATGCGCTGTCCTTATGGTGTCAACTTCAGATATCATGTTATGTATGTCACCTTGTTTTGTTTCAGTAAGTAATTATAATTGTTGCAATGTCACGTTACTATCAGGCCAAACTCTACATGTAGAGCTATTAATAAACCAAACCTAGCTGAGCCGATTATTATATTCTTCGAGGTGCGCATGGAGAAAATTGAGGGTTTCAATAAACTAGAAAAATCTCGAAAGCTTTTTTTGGGGTTTAGTTTGATGATAGTTTGGTGTGTTCGGAAGCTGCCTGGGCTTGGCTGGTAGCATTCCTATACTTCTCAAAAAAACACTAATTCAATTGGTTATCTTATTGGGTTTGTAATTAAGAAATAAAATCAAACCTACGATGGAGTTTAATGAAGAGAAACCATCATGTCCTTATTACTTGACCATATATTTCCAACTTAGGACAAGCATGTGTTCTATGTTCTTTCGTATGATGTACACACATGACATAAGCATCAATCAGTATCTAAAACTTCATGCCTTTTTACCAAAGAGCTAGGAATTAGTAAATAGGTAATAAAGTTGAAGCAAAGTTTTGATTAAACATCTGACTATAGACTTTGTTGTGTTCTGTTTGATACTTTTTAAGTCGCATTTTGAAATTTGTGAAGTAAAGCATTTAACCTTTTCTGCTTTTAAGTTGTGTCATTCATCATATTAGTCTGTCGATAAATGAAGTTTAGTTAAGTTATAAAATTTAAACAGAATCAATACTCTTTTGTTGAACTGTGAGATATTTACTTACTTACCTTATTTAATTTTCTTCCCAATTACATTGCATTTACAAGAAGCCTAAGAAAGCAACTAGAGAAGTTTGACTATACCTTGATGATATAAGATTAGTCCACACAAGGGACCTCCTTCTAAGTTGGAATATCCAAATTTGTCCAACCACCCCTAATTCATTGTTGCTTTAATTTATTATATGCTTAGTTGTTCGAGAGAAGTTGATAAACATTTTGCTCCTCAGGATGAGAAGGATCTTAAGATCAGGGAACTATCCACAGAGTTGCACCGGGAGAGAAAAAAATCTTCGGCTTATCAAGAACAGCTACAGATGATTTTGAAATATGTTGAGGAACATACGCAGCGGATATCATTGAATGTTGATGTTGTATTTAACAATGTGAGAGAACTTGAATCCGAAGAGCAAGACGATCTGGACTCTGACTAGAATGAATGATTTTTTTGAACCATTTCTGTTCTTGATAATTAATCAGCTGTGCTTCTCGTTTCTTCCTACTTTATATTATCATTTTGACTTCTAAGGTTCATATTGTTCAGCTTGTTTGCCACTGAGGGTTGGCAAATACCAGTATTGTTGTCTTTTGGAAGTCATTTCCTATCCAACAAAGGCAGGCCTATTCTTCTGAAACGAGAAGTTATGATAATTCAAAAATAGGTTAAATATAAGTGTGAACAGTATTTTTTGTCCTTAAAGTATACCAGTTTAGTCTTCGTTGTATTTATTTTATTAATTTAGCCGCTAAAGTTTCGATTTGGTAATGATCATAATCAATTCATTGGAAGTTGGAAAAACAAGCTGATGGCAAAAAGCTTTGATGAACATTTATTGGATAAAATTTATCTATCCGACCACGAGTAGCAGAAACAAATTTTAAGCATCAGTTTCAAAAACCAAAGTGACATCAAGAACGCAGAGTATATCATTCCAAATTTTCAGTCCACAAACATATGACTTAGTGATGGGACTCTTCTGAAAAAGCCTATGATGAAGACACGTGTCCTCGGGGATTTCTAGAACAATGTTGCTCGGGGTTCAAGCACCATCGGCAAAGCTCCCTCTCCCCGAGGTACATCTCATATAGGATCACATATTCGGTACAGTATACAAATACATGTGTCCTCGGGCGCCATGTACCTCGGGAACACACCACCCTTGGTCCCCCCGAGGTCAGTCTTTCCTCGGCACCGAGGGTCACTCCATCCTGGACGCTTCCTCTACTCCCGGATGAAGCTACTGACAAAACTGGACATCAGCCTATGCCAGTATGGACTAGTCATCATGATCTCTTCTTACACAAGAAATGTCAGAACATGCTGGGATACAGAAGTCGTAGCCAATACGTGACGGACGCGTGGCATATGATGTCACATCAAAAACAGGCAAACCGCACGCTATTGCTGACATGCGCTTTGGGAAGCAAACAATTAATTGCACCCTTCTGTTGACGAGACCGCATTCAATGCGGTAAGGTTCGGATATGAAAGGCAATAAATGCTCCTTTTACAGAGCATTTATTGCATCCTTCCCGAAAGGAGCATATTGTACCGTCGGCGTCCCGACGACTCAACATTGATTGCTCGGGATCCCGAGCAGTCAATTAGAGAAGACATTCCTCATCAAATCAGGACACACGCTGCCAGTGCCTGATGATCACCTACTGACCACACTGACAGCAATCATGAGTTTCTAAGGTATAAATACCCCTCTCAAAAAGGCAAACAAGAGAAAATCACAAACTCTCAACTACGAAATATCCTTCTCAGTGTTTTCTCCTTCCTCTCTCTCATTCAAAGACTGACTAGATCGTCGGAGGGGATACGCCGGAAAACACTCCGGCGCCCTTCTAACCTGTTCTCTTTTGTTCCAGGAAATACCTTTCGCACGTACAGTATCGTTCCTCCTTTCCCAGGATCGTAAGCTGTTTCGAGCAGTGTGCTTGGCCACTCAACCGGCTCACCCAAAGTTCACCAGGGGAGAGATCTGTTCCCAGTATTTTATATATATCGTGCAGGATCAAGCCCGCACAATCTGGCGCCGTCTGTGGGAAAACGAGTAGTTTTCCTAATCTTTTCTCTATAAAAGAACAGTGACCATGGTGAATACCAGACAGAAAGGGAAGGGAACCCACCAACGGAGTCATGAGTTGCAAGCTCCCTGCCATCACGGAGGGAGGGATCGCACCAGTACGATTAAAAGTGCCTCCACTCGGTCAAGGGGGGTAACCCCTCAAACCAGTATGGGGATCAGGTCAGGAGGATCAGCCCCCTTGGCCCGTCAGCTGGCAGAGGTGATTGAAGAGAAATTTGGCGATAGATTACGTCAGCTGGAGAAGGACAATGTAAACGTCCTTAGCCGGCTCGACGAGTTTGCTGCCTCAGGCGGAGGGTCAAGGGATTCATTCCTCTCCCGAGGACTCCCCGTCCATGAGGCGGAGACAAAAGATCTAAGGAACCACCTGGACCACAAAGCAGAAAGCTCCAGGGCCCCGAAGCGACCCAAGGCCGGCGAATGCCATCTGGACAACCATTCCAGGAAAGTAAGGCCATTGGCCCTGGACGACCTCCGGCGAGGTTTATCCAGACGGAGGAAGGGAGATGAATCCGAGGAGACTCAACCCAATCTACACGACTCCCAGGAAACGAGGGGCTTACCGACGAACCCAGAGACTTCAGGAGGCATCCTGCAAGGGAAGAAGATCTCAGAGCCCGATTAGACTCCAGGAGAAAGGGCAAGATGATCCAGGACGAGGCCGAGGACGAAATCATGCAAACACCCTTCACAAGGGAAATCAGCGAGATGGACGTCTCAAGAAAGTTCGTCGTGCCACGATTCAAGACCTATGACGGGCGATCTGATCCCGACGCCCATATCAGACAGTATAAGCAGATGATGTCCCTCTATCATTCGGACCAACGGTTTCTATGCCGGGTATTCCCCATGAGCTTGGGGGACTCCGCGATGAGGTGGTTCGAGGCGCTTCCCCTCAAACAGTATTGGGTCCTGGAAAGAATTGACAAGGCAGTTCCTAACCCGATTCATTACGGGGAGTAAGCGCCCAAAGGACATTGGATCACTGCTGACCCTCAGGAGGAGGGAATCCGAGACTCTTCGCCAGTACGCCATCCGATACTGGGAAGAAGTCAATGAGGTCGAGGGATGCTCGGAGGTCATGGCAGCAGCATCATTCCGGCTCGGCTTGGCCAGGGACACGGACCTGTACAGATCCCTGACCAAAAAGACTCCCTCGGATATGGGGAACTGATGGACCGAATCAACAAGTACTCAAGGGTCGAGGACGAGATGGGGGGCAACAAAGGCCGAGCCCTCCAACCCAAGAGAAAGGAAAAAGAGCACGAAGACATTCCCCGGAAGGGATTGCTACCCCGTCCAGGGGGTTCGTCCAGAGGAGTTCACACCGTCTTCAAGGAACCCATCTACAGGTTGCTCCATAAAATCAAACATGAACCGTTTTTCAAATGGCCGCCCAGGATGCAAAGCGACCTCTCCACCCGTGATCAATCAGTAAGATGCTCATATCACCGGGATGTCGGGCATCGCACCGAGAGCTGCAGGGTATTCAAGTCATTCTTGGAAGGCTTAGTCCGAGATGGATATCTGAAAGAATACATAGAGCCCAGGCCAGAAGAGAAACGAGCTCATGCCCCGATCGAGGAACCAAACAACGTCATAGACGTCATCCATGTGTGTCCACTGGAGCGCCCCACGTCCAAAGAGCTCGAATCCGACCTCAAGAGGGTAGCTTTTACCAGAAAGGTAGCCGAAGGAGGTGTGGGGCCATCAAGCAAAAGGCCCAGGATGGGTGAGCTTGGCATTATGTTCTCTGACGCGGATTTGACGGGCGTGGTGATTCCTCATAACGACGCCCTTGTCTTAACCCTGAAGATAGGGAAATTCGATGTCAAGAGAATCTTGATTGATTCAGGGAGTTCCTCGGAGGTGATGTACTTCGAGACTTTGAAGCGGATGGGTTTTGGCCCCCAAGACTTGACCAAAATCAGGACACCCCTCATCGGGTTCAACGGCTCTTTCGCCTTGCCCGTGGGGAAAATTACATTACCGGTCGCCACTGGTCCCTTCGTCATCGACACAGAGTTTGTGGTGATCGACACGGACTCCCCTTACAACGTGATCATGGGTCGAACATGGCTACACGCTTTAGGAGCGGTACACTCCACTCTCCACCAAAAGTTGAAGTTCGCCACGCCAGAGGGCGTCATGGAGATCCGGGGAGATCAAGCGTCCGCGAAGAACTGTTTTTATTCGGCCGTCCGAGCCGGGGCGTCCGGCCAGGAGAAGGGGCGAGCACCGGAAGAGATCATAGAAAAATAGCAGTTACAGTCCGGGCGTCCGGGGATGGATGACCCCCGGGTAGACCCAGCAGAGCGGTCGGTTGAAGACCTCCGGAAGGTGCCCTTGGTAGAAGGAGAGGAAGAGAAGTATTTCCTAGTTGGGACCTCGATGCCCGCAGCCGAACAGGAGGAGATGATCAGGTTCTTAAGAGGGAATACAGACGTGTTCGCCTGGAACGAAATGGAAATGACAGGAGTAGACCCCGAAATAATTACTCACAGGCTGCATGTTGACCCATCTCACAAGCCAGTAAAGCAAAGGCCACGACGTATGGCCCCGCATCACGCCAACGCGGTCAATGAGGAAATAGACAAACTCCTGAGAGCTGGCGCCATTCGAGAGATACAGTTCCCAGAATGGCTGTCCAATACAGTATGTGCAAAAAAGAAAGGGGGGAAATGGCGTGTCTGCGTGGATTTCACAGATCTTAACAAGGCATGTCCCAAGGACGACTACCCCCTGCCGAAGGTGGACCAGCTGGTAGATGCCACAGCCGGATATGAACGAATGGACTTCCTGGATGCTCGAGCGGGATATCATCAGATCCCTCTTTATGCCCCGGACCAAGAAAAAACGGCGTTTATCACTCCGAAGGGAGTTTATTGTTATAAAGTGATGCCATTTGGGTTAAAGAACGCCGGGGCAACATACCAAAGATTGATGAATCGGATGTTCAAGAGGCAGATCGGCGACACCATGGAGGTCTACATAGACGACATGCTGGTAAAAAGCAAACGGAGTGGTGATCATCTGACAGACTTGGCGGATACCTTCTCCACTCTCAGGGAGTATGGGTTGAAGCTAAATGCAGCAAAGTGCGTCTTCGGAGTGGAGTCGGGAAAATTCCTCGGGTATCTGGTTAGTCATCGGGGAATCGAAGCCAACCCAGATCAGATTAAAGCAATCCTGGATATCCGAAGCCCTCGCACTATCCGAGAGGTCCAGAAACTCACAGGGATGCTGGCTGCACTTAACCGATTCGTCTCACGCTCCTCGGATAAATGCAAACCCTTCTTTGGAGCAATCAAAGGTGCTGGGAAGAGTATTTGGAGCCAAGGGTGCGAGGACGCCCTGGCTGGAATCAAAGAATACTTGAGGACTCTTCCAACCCTATCCGTTCCCATCCAGGGGAGATGCTTTTCCTATACCTGGCAGTTTCAGAATTTGCAGTAAGCGGAGTACTTATCCGTGAGCATGAGCACCGACAGAAGCCGATTTACTACATCAGCAAGGCGCTCCTGGATGCAGAGACAAGATATCTGCCCCTAGAAAAACTGGCC